TGACGCTCCGGTGACGGACAGGTGGACCGAGGGCGCCGCCCGCCCATCCCTCCGGACCAGGCCAGGCCGGCCGATCTGAGGGAGGTAGGGAGGAGCCGCGTGGCTGGCCGAATGGACGGCCGCGCCGGGCCATTGTCACTGATTGTTGGCCATTGTCACTGATTGTTCATTGCCGCACCGAGGTCCGGCGATGTCACCGGAATGCCGCCACTGGTTTGAGTTTCCGCGAAACCGGCTTGCCCAGAGATGTTTGTCACTGGCATTGCTATGTGCTATTTGTGATGTTCATATATACCATTCCCGTTACGGAGTACATATCTTGTTTTGAACGTTAAGTTCCGATATACGAACTGGCCGTCTGAAAAAGAGCCGCACGTGCACGATGCTTGTAGATATTCCTGACGACCACGAACCGACCACGAATCAGAACTGCGCCTCTCGTAATGGGAGTGCGAGTAGTTGTTGCGAGTTAGAGCTCCTTGGCGAGTGGCTGACTCTGAACTGACTGACTAAACACCGGTTAGCTGTTTCACCAGCAGTCCCAGTGGAGGGAAGTAGGCCCAGGCGAGCAGGGTGTCGCAGCGTAAGTCCGACGATGGCGGCGCAGTAGTCGAATGGCGTCCACATTTAGCCGACGAAGGCTGCGCTGAGCGCCATACCCGCCTCACCTTATCTCCGAGTCACGTGTTCATGACTGACACGGGCAACCATACGGCCCGTCGTTGCCCACGCGCACCCCAGACGGGGCCGCCAGTCGCGGCCCCGGACACGTCAGTCCCCAGATCTGCAGTGATGTCGCCCGGCTCTGACGATGGCGCACAGCCGCCGTGTCCGCGGTCTCCGTCGCCGCCGCGGTATGCGGCGCTGGGCGGCGACTCGTACATGTCGCGGTCTCGCCATTGGGGGCCGAACGATTCGCGGCTCCCGCCGACCCCGCCGGCGACGAGTTTCCTCCGGCGAGTCCTGCGCCGTCTGGCGTGGTCGACGCTGCCCGGGAGGTTCCTGGCTGGCAAGCTGCTGCTGTGTCTACCGACGCACAGAGGTCAGTAGCTCCGGTGCCGGCCCTGCAGTGCTCTGAGAGAGCGTCGAGACCGCCTAACCGATTCTGTCCCTAATTAAGGTCTTTGTAAATATGTGTTCATCGTGCATCGTTTGTGATGTGAGCCGCGTGATCAGCTGCTAACTGATAATTTTTACTGCGATTTTGCTGTGGTCGTTGCTGGCGAATTGTTTAGTAATGTCGTGGCAAGCTGGTTGGGGACGCCCGTCTGGCTGTTCTGTTGACGGAACGCGCCGATCGACATGGCATGCAGCCATCCAGCGCCTCAAATCGGCGAATCTGTCCAGCGTGGTCTCAATGGAGTGCTGAGCGGTGCTAAAGGACATGGTTATTTTCATGCGTTCTGTTCACAGTTTTGTCGTGGCTGTGCTGTCCGCGGCCGTGCTCCACGGTTGCGACGTCTGCGGCCAAGCTGCCCGCTGCTGAGCTCCGCGGCCGAGCTGCCAGCGGCCGTGCTCTGCGGCCGTGCTCTGCGGTCGTGCTCTGCGGCCGTGCTTCCCGTGGCTGGGCCCTCCGTGGTCCCGTGATCGTGGCCGCGGCGAGGGTGCCGCGACCTGCGCGATGCCGTGCGCTGCAGTGATGGCGCCGCGCACTGTGCAGTGATTTTGCCGAGCGCTGCGTACGCGGTGGGTGCCGCGCGCCGCGCTGTTGAGCGTGCCGTATTCGGACGGTGGCTGCCGCGCGCAGCGTGGTGATTGCTGCGCTCTGCCATGAGTGCCGCTCACTGCCGTGGCCTGAGTGCCGCGCTCGGACGGAGTGCCACGCGCCGTTGTGTTGCGTCGCCTTCTGCCTTTTGATATGTGCTATCTCCGAATTTAATGTTGCTTGTTGCCGATGTTCGCTTCTTTTCGTTAAGAGGGTCGGGTATAGTCGGTCGATTTATTCGCACCGTTTGATTTCGTACCGGCTTCTCTTCTGTTTCTTATTGTTTTCTGCGATGTCACTTGTCCGATTTTATATCTGATTAATTCACGTCACTTAAGTATTTATTTTATATTGTCATAATAACTTACGGCGCTGTTCCTTTATTTTCTGTTTAGTTGCAGCCCTAGTACCTTAATTTCCGATGTCTCTTCGGTTTGTTGTCGCTCGCATGTTCAGAGAGTCCTGGTTGGCCGGCGCGAGCGGCGGTTGTGGAATACAAGCTCGTCTGTGAAGGTTGTGTGTCGGAGCCGGGTTGGCGAGGCGGGACCCGTCTACATTTCAAACACCATTGCATTTCTCTCATCAAGACGCGTCGAATGATGAATAATGTGACCTCAAACATAGGCGCGGGAACCGGGGAGGGGGCAGTAGGGGCAGCTTGCCCCCCCCCCCAACTCTGGGGCCGTGGGGCCGTGTATCTTATGGTCAGGGCGCGTGTTTGAATTTATTTTCGGGGGTTGGGTCACTTAACTTGACCTGGTGACCTGACCTTTGATGACCTGGAGCTAAAATTTTCAAAGCCTGTACGGAAAAGACGTATAATAAGCTGTACCAAACCGTTTTTGAGATGTCAGCGAAAACCTGGGGGGGGGGGGGGCGTGAAAACGCCGAGCGGGTTAATGAACCAGTAAGACGCCTTTCGGGGCGATACGCGAGCGAGCAAAAGGATGAGCCCTGCAAGTGCGAAACTGAGTGGGGGTATTTCCAACTGACTTTTGCACGGCACCCTGCCAACCGGTCGCTATCGGTGTATCAAATCTGAGCACAATCGGTCCAGCCGTTCCTGAGATCTGGAAGCGGCACCCTCCACGTGCGCACGTGTAGTACACTTCAACGTTGGTCGTTGACGCATTGAAATACATTGCCAAGTTGCTCATAGGTACTCAGAATTTTCCGCCATTCTACGAAAGCTTGCTTCGCTCGCTCCGCTGGCTCGCTTGTAATAAAGCACGTAAAAAATATGTCAACTTAAAGTGCAATTTAAAAACAAAAATGTACGTCCACCTATGCACTACATTTCAAAGCAAAAAAAAAATGTCCACTTATACCGTTATCTCAAGACAAAAAAAAATATGTCCACCTAAAAGTACAGTCCACCGAAACGCTTTTTTGCACCCAAATTCGACCGGCTACCACATCAAAACTAACCGGCATAGGACAGCGGCCAGTTGATATTTTCTTGCTACCTACCTGACGTGTGCTGCCATCTAAAAGTCATCCTCCCAGCATGCGTAGTTTTCAAGTCCACCGAAAGACGAAATACGCTAAAGTCCACCCATCCCGGAATTTGGAATATGTGTGTAATCACGACTTGCGACTGATGTGATAACAAGGTACGTCAGCCGGAGGCAAATTTTGAAGAAAAAATAAATGTCTCGGGGCTCGGATATAGCCGGTATGTTCAACCTATCGATACCAAAATTGTGTTTGGCGACGAGCTTAGGAAATGGCATCGATCATATCAATGTGAACTCGAGCGACTTGACAAAAGAAAACACAGTAATTCGTATTCGTTTCGGGCTACACTGAGGTAAAAAATTGTTAAAAACCAAATATTTCGGCTTTATTGAGAAGCCTTGTTCACTGGTTTAAAATATCAGTGTAGCCCGAAACGAATACGAATTACTATCATTTACCTGAGGAAGATCAGAAATGACACTTCGTCAATACCTAAAAGAAAACACACTTGTGCAGTAGCACGTGTGTCCTCGCCGTTTCAGATTTACTTTCGTTTACCGTTTTCAAATACATGATGAGCCTTTCTATTATTTGGTCATCTACATGCCTATGTAGGCAAAGCCGAGGGTTCCGCCATCGGGAACTGTGGTAGTCAGGATGCCTAAAAAATTGTTTCTGAGTGACTATATGCAAACAGATGTGCATTTTGGGTCCCTCCATTCCTAAAACCATGGCGGAGCCGCCGCAGGCTGAACCTTTCTCTGTCATTTTGACACCTGGCATAAGTCAAAAGTCAGCATGGCACCGACACCACACCCAGTCACTCTCTCCGTCCGTGTCATTTCCGGACGCTGCTGGCCATATAATGAGATGCCTGACCGCGGCCAACACACCGAGCAAACAATAATATTTTGACAAACGGCGGCGCCGCGCGGCACGGCCGGCCATTGTCGGTCGTGTAACCGGAGGCGGCGCGCTCGGGGCGCGCGGCTCGCGTTTCGCCCGCTTTGATAGCGTGTCGGGCGAGGCGTTGAGACAACACGAGCGTCCCGGTGCGGGAGCAGGGCGGCGCCTGGCCCAGCACCCTCTCAGCAGCTACACAGCTGCCGACCCGCAGCCCCACACACTGGAGGTGGCGGCGGCGCGGCAACCGGCAGCTGAGCCTGAAAAGTGGCTACTTTTAGTGCTTTGTGATCAGGAATGCATGCGTCTGTATTGTGCAAACATGAAAGCACGCTGCTGACGGCTAGGTTTCCTCTTGGGCTCCACCCGGCGCCTGTCAGCTTCTGTATAGCTCGTATGCTAACGCCTGTACAGACGGATGCAGTTGTGATTGTGGCACGTACGCTATAACATATTTTGTTTGAACAGACAAGCATCTAATTACTATATGTATATTCAGAGCTAAGGGCTGCCTCGCCAAAGCACCGGCATTTTGTGGTTAGCATGTGCTAGAGTTGCAAAATGTGCAGTCGTGTCTTCATCACAACCCAGATCGTGGACGAGCGCTCGAGCTTTTTAAAGCCTCGGCTTACAACCCCCAAATCAGCCTGTTCTTTTCACTCACAGTTATTCTGTCAGCCACTTTGTGCAGGTATGACAATTACGCCGTATAATTGTGGCACTCACCGGCATCAGGTGCCGGCCGGCGGCGGTGGCAGCCTGTTCATATGCAGCAGCACATGCTCGCTGTCAGCGGCAGGCCGCGAATCAGCGTCAAATTATAGTGAGGCGTCGGCCCGTTTCACGCCGCGCATTGACGTGATGATTAATTACGGAGCATGACGGGCCGAAAATGGCCGGCGGATGCCGCCAATCAGGGCCGCCGCTTTGTCGACTAATTGGTGTACTGTTCAGGAGAGCCATTGTGGTCGTGTCGGGCCGGCGTGCCGTGTCTGCTCGGTCGGTCGGGTGCGTCCCACACACCTGCGGAAGGCGGCGCCAGACGCCAGACACAGACCGGCACAGACTACAGCGAGAGTGCGGCCAGGACCGGCACAGACCACGGCGAGAGTGCGGCCAGGACTGACACAGACCGGCAGTTCTGCCAGTTCGGTACAGACCAGAGAGAGGGCAGCCCGACACAGACCACTGACCGGCCGGCCAGTGCAGCCGAACGGCAGTCCAGCCCGATAGCAAACCCGACAGTCAAACCAGACAGGTCCGGCGGGAAACCAGCAGACAAAATACAGACCATACGGCCGGCAAGAAGACCCGACGGACCCTATGGTCAACCGTCAAACAAAATAAATTCAACAGTTGCGAATCGCTACTGGTCATATGGGCACTCCAAGTACTATATCCGGTAAAGTGAGGTAAGATAAGGTATTTTAACCCTCGCATGTGTGCGGCGTTTGCCAGCTTCTAATGTGTAGGGGGGGGGGGGGTCGGTTGGACCCCCCCCCTTGCCGTTTGGCCCCTGATCGAGCTAGAGCTTCGCGGAAAAAACGAGCGTGTTGCCCGTGACGAGAGAAAGCCGATGATACCCAATTTTAAGGTCCTAGGTCATTGGTTGACCTTCCAGGTCAGGTCAATGACCCCAAAGTCGGGAAAATCGGGACCTGTTAGAAAGTCGTAAAGAGTGGCTGCTAAGGGGTTTTTCGGGGTGCTGATCACGAATATCGTGTTAGTTTTGATCACAGATGATGTCTTGAAGCATTTAGACCAGGTCGGGTCAGGTCAGGTCAGGTCAACCAGTAGGCGTCGTGACGGGTATTCGTAATACGTGTCAACCGCCTCTGACAGCTTCGTAACATGTTACGAAGTCACCAAAACTACTTCGTAAATGTTCAAATGGTTGCTAAATTCGAATTCAGCTCCAAAAACTAGCCTAGAAACATGTAAAACTCGAAAAAGTGAACCGAGGTCACCCGAGGTCACCAAAGGTCAATGACCTGACCTGACCTTCAGGTGACCTTGACACCCACGGGAGTAACATCAAATTACATGTTTGAACGTTTGAAACCATGAAAAGCTTGCAAACGCGCGGCTAATGCGAGCCGACATACGCAGAATCGCGATTCCGGCCAAACATGGTCTCGGAAAAGAGGTCACAGGTCAAAGGCCATTTGGGTCAGGGTCATGAAATTTTCAGGGTAGGTGTAAAATTGATCAATGTGAGGGTACTGAAAGTTTCGTCGCGATCGGCCGCTTTTTACGCGAGTTATTCGCGAAAAACCATGGGGGGGGGTCCATCCGACCCCCCCCCCCCCCTACACATGCGAGGGTTAAGCCAACACGGCGGTTGCCCAGAAGACAGCAAAGAACCGATTTGAAATAACCAGACCTCACAAAGCTAAATTTCAGTCAACAGAAATTAGAAAAACTAACAAACCTATTGCAAATGATGCGTCTCCTCGTCTCTGCACGCTGCACTGCTCGCAAGATTAGAAAGATAACGCTACCGATGCTATTAGGCGTCATTGGCTATGCACTGTGTTTGCTTCCATTCCGACAGTCATGGATCCTGCCTCAGAATTCGAATGACTGATGAAATGATGCGGCCAAAACAATTTACTAAAAACTCGGTTCTCGGGCAACACACAACGCCCTATGCCCAATGCCCATACAATGAGCGTAATGTATCTGGCATGCTGTGCCGCACGACACGCCAGTACTGCGGTACAGCCCAGGCAAACTCCGCCGACGGGCTGCCGCCCGAGCTGTGTTTTCTTTGTCGCACAAACGTCGGCACTCCTTCTCATCCGGTTGACCTCGTGACCCGATAAACCGTTTTCCCAGATACTGACGCATGCCTAAAAACCACCCGATCATGTTCCACCAGTTCCCGAGGCAGACCGGGCTGGCCGCCACCCACGATCAAAGTCCGCGGACCGACTTCCAGCGGGTTAATTACCGTGCCAATCACGCCGATCACGGCATCTCAGCTCGGCCGCGTGGTTCGACAGCTCGGCAGCCGGACCACGGCCGAGCACCCGCTGAGTGACGCGAGTAAATCACGGAGCACGCAACGCGCGCCGGCCGGCCCAACTAGCAATTTGGCCCGCTTAATAGGGCGGCCGTTCAAGGTTGCGTAAAAAGATATTGGCTATCTGGCGGTGTGCATGCTATGTCGTGCCGACGGCCGATCAGATTCCGGACGCTGCTGAGATAGCTCGCAGATGGATAATATGGAAATTCGAGTCGAACAGCACGGTGAGTCAGAAACGCGTATGTAGCGTGTTAACTGATGCTGCGTGCTTGGCAGCTCCGTGCGATTGCCTAGAAGGACTGGGACTATTCACTAGTAAGAAGATCTACAAACGTTCACAATGGAAAGTGGGTAGGTGTTCTACGCTCTCGCCATTATTCTATCGTGGCGTTTGTAGTTGTTGTGCTAAAGTTGGCATGTGCTACGATCAGGGTTGTGCTTGACTCATGAGTCGAGTCAGAAATTTGACTCAACTCTGACTCAAATGAGTCAGATTACTCAAATGAGTCAGATTTGAGTCGAGTCGGATAAAATGTTGAGCTGTTGAGTTTAGTCAGAGTTGAGTCGGACAAAAATATTAAGACGTTGAGTTGAGTAGGAGTTGAGTCAGTAAAATAGCTTTTGACATTGAGTTGAGTCAAACATCCCCCCCGCTTAACAACTTAGCCCTGGCCCTGCTGCTTGATTTTTTTCACCCCCCCCCCCCGCTCAACAACTTTTTTATCTGAGTCAATTTTGAGTCAACTCAGTTGACTCAACAAAAATTGAGTCAAGTTTGAGTCAACTCATATTTTCATTCAGACGCTTGAGTCATGAGTCGAGTCAAGGGAAAAAATCAGCTCCTTGTTTGAGTCAGAGTTGAGTCAGGGCTTTCTGAAGTTGAATGATGAGTTGAGTCGGCAAATTTTTTTTAGTCGAGCACAACCCTGGCTACGATACAGTGCAGTTTGGAATGAGCTAACGAGGTAATGTAGTTTTAGCCATTTCTGTGACCCATCTCAGGTTGGCTGTCGCATTGCACTAGATCAACGGCACGGTATTCAAAGCATCAGCAGCAACAAGTTTGCATGATTAGATGACAGCCATGTAGTACAGCTGCACTGCATTCATTATATTCACCGCAGACATGCCACTCACGCCGCCGCCCATCGGACCCTCTCCATGCTGCCGTTCTTTTCATCGTTCCATCACTGGGGCGTGGCCTCACGACGGCTGTGGTCTGCCGGAGCTCGGCCGCGGACGACCTGTCGAAGCCTCCCCGCCCCCGCCCCCGCCCCCGCCCCCGCCCCAGCAGCACCGTCACCGGCAAATTGCCAATTATTTCGCACACTTTGTGTGGTCGGCGGGCGCGCCTTGAATTGCCCGTTGGCATTTCTCAATTTGGTGGTCGGCTTCCGAGGAAATGGTCGATAGGAGAGGAAAGAGCTGGGGATAGAAGCGAATGGAGAGCGAGAGTGGGTGATAAAGAGAGAACTAAAACGGGCAGACAGTATGTACATATGCATAATACATAGGATACATGAGATTGAGAGGGTGTTTGAAGCATTAGATTGGACGAAGAGTATCGATGCATGTTTGGTGATCTACTATGGTAAGTCAAACCTTATGGTGAAAAGCAAGGCTAATTATTTACGTTTCAGTTAAGTTTAACTCTTGCTTCTTCCAAAATAATGCTTATTTTCTTTACCGTTAGGACGGTAAGACCCGCGAGCCGAAGCCTGGGTTTTGAACTATAATTACAGGAGTGACATCCATTTCCAAACAAACCCTGTCACCCTGAACACCCTCCAGATAGTTCATTGACAACTTCACAGCGCCAGCCGGCCCAGAAATAGCCGTTCGAGCAGCCATCGAGCCAACAACAAATTAGTGCGGTCGGCGGCGACGGCGGGCGGCCGGCGGACGTCCGTCGGCGCCGTCGGGCGCCCCGAGGCCCGTCGGCGGCGGCGCGCGAGCCTCAGAGCGGCGCCCAGCGGCCCGCGCGGCGGGGTTCGCCGGCGCGCGGGGAAGAAGCCGCTCCGGTTTCCGATGGAAGTCGGCGCATTCCTTCCGTCTCCCGCCGCGGTCAGTTCCGGCCGGAGACCAAACACAGCCGCGCCGGCCCCGCAGACTGCTCTGTTTAGGTGTGGGGAGGCAAATCTGGCCCGGCTCCGGTAGGTGCCGACAGATGAACGTTGTGTTTTCTATTGGGGTCTTCAGGTGTCATATCGTGGCAAAGTTCGAAATCCTATGCCAGTTTCCCAAGTTCAAACGAACTACTGAGCCAAAGAAGGCTTGACTTAACAGATAAAATGTCACAATGATCTGCAACCACGGCAGACTCTATGGTATGGAAAAATATATGTTTGATGCAAGCGGTAATATGCATGTATGTATTTATGTGTGCTTATATGCATGATTGTATGTATGTATGTATGTATGTTTGTATGTATGTATGTATGTATGTATGTATGTATTATGTAGGTACTAAGGAGTAAGGTGTCTCCACCAAGTGAATTTTCTGAGCTGTGCTCAGAACTTCTTCAATATTTCGCCTAATGATAACATATGCAATAAATGATTCAGCAATCGACCCGATAGAAATCCATATTTAGATGCCAAATCTAACACATAAAACTACAAGCTTTCCCGCTGTTACTCTACAAACTTTTATTTCTCACCCTTTCTTATATCAAACGGCATTTCACATGCAGTAGCTGGAATGTTCCCGATATGCCATATGGGTATGTAGATCGATATCGATATAGCTACCTTGGAAACTCGAACAAAGTCTCCATTGCGTTGATTCTGAATGCTGATATGTATTTTTGCGGTGCTTACAAGCATGTTTTGGCCACTGGGCTTATTACACGCATTTCGCCTTGACACTTGGACGCAACAGCAATGCGATGTATGTGTTACAGGCCGCAGGGACGGCGCCACAGGGGGGGCAGGAGGGGCAGCCGCCCCCCCAACTCTGAACACTGGGGCCCTCTTTCAGCCAGCAGGTCAGGTA